AAATTATAGAGAATGTAAGTGAGAGAGAGTGGAGTGAGAATGAAAATCCCATTTTCTAGCCTTAGGAACAGCTCGGCAGTGACTTTTAAAAAACCAGCTTATAGAGAATTTAAAGAGGAATTTAATGATGCAAACTTCTTCCTAGTTGAAACGATAGTCAAGTTATTTAACAAAAACCTTTTTCTCATTAATAAACTATGTCTATACAAGCTTAAATTCCTTACCTAAATGTAGGTCTCATTATCATCTTCCTCATTCTCCTCATTCTCATCCTCCTGCTCCTCCTTCTCGTCCTCCTCCTGCATCTAACAGAAATCTGAACTCGCATATTTTACTAGTCCCAGTTTACCACATCTTCCCAATCTGTGTCAGCATCATCATCATCATCGTCTTTTTGACAAACCTGTAATTATTTAAAATTAATGTTTTTGAATTGAAAACTTCTTTAGCGGCGTTGAGCACTTTTGTGGGATGGGTAAAAACTGTGAAACTCGCGTCAGGACACGTGGGCTGATCGAAAATTCGTAAGACGGTTGGAGAGTAGTGTTGTAACATCGAAATCGAACAATCGATTGTTTTCTTTCGATTGTCGATATTTTGACTATTAATTGAATTTTTAAATAATGAATTTGGTTTAACTATGTCAAATGATCGCAATCTTAGCACAACGAAGTACAAAACTACTATTGATGCGGTCTTTATTAGACATTTAAATAGGTTCGAATCAAAACTGTTCGTTTCTTACTTCAGCTATCATAAACCTATCGTATCAGTTTTAGAGATTGGCGATGATGGTTCTGGTAATAATGATGGTGAAAAAGTCATCGAAATTATGGATGTAAGTTGATTTTTCTGAGAGATAAACTTTTTAATGTAATACAATGTAATTTAATGACATACATTGTAATGTGTGTGTATGATAGCGCAATAAATATTGTATTCTACCACATAAATGATAGTACTTTTATATTGATAATAAAAGCAATTCATTCAAAATTATTCCGTAACTATTCCAAAAAATCAAAAATGCACAACTTTAATATTCAAGTTTTCACTTCTGCCGGCACTCTCGGAGTGCAACCCGTGTTTTTTTTTTTATTTTTAAGTAATAAGTATCAAAAATACCGCGAATTGGAGTCGTTAGTTGTAGTGCCTACTATCGCACTAATTACTACCTCTCACCTTACCCATACCTTCCGCAAATTTATAACCTCCAATCTTTGTGGCAGTCGTGGATGGATAAATTATTAAGCTCACTTCACCGTGGCTCCCTGGTTGCCGGGAGAGAGGATATTGAAGATAAAACAAACACTTATTATGACATTTTGTTTTTTACAAGCTTAGTTAATTAATTTATTGATGGGGTCTACGTTTAAAGAGTCCACATTAGTAAAAATATGTACTTAATAGCTTGAACTATTTACCTAAATATAGGTTTCATCCTCCTCCTTCTCCACTTCACAGAATCTGCACTCGCTATCTTCTGCTAGTCCCAGTTTACCACTTGATTTTGTTCACGCTAATGAAGAGTTCTTATGCTACTAATTTATTATCTTCCCAATCTGTGTCATCTTCATCGTCGTTTTGACAAACCTGTAATTATTTAAAACAGATTATGTAATTTTTTATTTTTAAGTAATTACTATTAAATATAAATTAATATTATTAATATGACTATTAAAAAACAAAACATAGGTAAAATATCTATAGCCACTAACCCCCAAACAAACACACACAACATTCAGATTATTGGGAACAAGATCGACATCTTTTACAATGCTATTGTGAGATATAAAATAATTTTCCAGCCCTATGTGTGTGTTTACACTAGACTAAACAACTGTCAGACATAAATCTCATGCAATAAATGTAATGTAAATATCAGATATCATGAATTCGAAGCCTCACCATACCACATATATGATCTTCTTCCAAATGGGAGCTAAAAAAATATCATCTACACTCCATAATCGGCACTTTCTTTAAGATTTCACAGATACACACCTATCGCTAGAGCTAAAATGTCCATACTTAGATGGAATGCTAGCAAAATTGATCACTTTTTACCTGCTGCAGGTAGGTAGTACAAAAACCTCTTCTCCAGAGCTTATCTATTGCTACTATGAGACACATTTTTACCTAGGATTCGTTTGACCTGTCGACGAGCACGTCACGTCCCAACAGTTTTAATTTATACCTTAGGACTAATTAATTGGGGATGCCTTAAGTGTGCGAAGGTTTCTCTATGTATCTGTACTTGTAACCTAACAAAAATAGGGGGTAATTTATTCGTAAATCACTACAGCTACACGAAACCCTTACCTCATTAAACGTAATTAGCTAGCCCATAAGCAATAAAGTATAGATATGGGTAGGAAATACACAAAGACAGTCCATCAAATTGGTGTTCCTCACCAAACTTTTGTCATTTAAAGGTGGTAGGTTTGTTTATTGGGTGTCGTTCGATATGTCGGAATTATTATTACATTCTTCTCGGTATAATAGGTTTTAATCTCTTCGATAATACTCAAAAAAGGATAAAAAACGAAAAGTTTTCCAATGTATTTTTCGAAAACTAACCACATACATATATATCAGTAAGATGGCGGGCGCGTCGGTCGAGGGCTCGGGGCAATGTTGCCGCGTGCGTGTGTCGCGGATTACGGTTCTGCCCAGAGAATAATATATTATTTTGTTACGCATACCAACGTCTAAAAAATGTACACAAGGATCTTTAAAATGTACTTGATATTCGATATACATAATTGCGATTACGTATAGGAAACGGGAGACTTTTTAGCGAACAAAAAGTGGCAGGAATCTGTGTACACCATTCTGGACACCGTCGTACCCATATATATCAATAAGATGGCGGGTGCGTCGGTCGCAATGAACTGGGAGTGGGGTAGAATGCTTGTCAATAGGTTTGAGATGCGACTCTATGGGCGAAGGCAGGTTATTTTTCATCTCACTCGGGAGTATTTATAACAACCATTTTCCATTTCACTTTGTTATTATTGTCTGATTGAACAATAACAATCGAGAAATTTTACAAAATGGAAAAAAAATTAGTTTTTTATAAAAATTGTTCAAATAAAAGTTGTTTGTAATATAATTCTCTATAATTTTTATCAAATACATAATTTCTCTAAAATTGACCGTATTCGAGATATTTGAGAAAATGTATAAATTTCGAATTTTGAAGAAAACTCAGAAACGGATAAAGGAAAAAATATTAAATTTTAAACTTAAGTTTTATTTCGGCCTGAGGTGAAATGATTAGATTTTGGACGAAGGCAGAACAGTACGGGATACTTTATGGGAAGCCTATTTTATGGAATATATATTATAGAAAAATGTGTCGAGTTAGGTTAGGTGTATGTGGTGGAAATGAATATATACAGTGAGCACCATAAGTCTTACCCCCCCCCCTATCTAACTCGTTACTGGAGTCTTGTTATGAAAATCGCCGAGACACGTCGATTTTTGATTTCTACAATGTACATTTTTATATAAATAGTTTACCCTTAATTTCATCCCTTACTGGAGGGGAGCAACCCTTTCGAAAAATTTAAATGACATGGGGTGGTGAGTGATAGCTCATTTGAAAGAGGGTTTTATTCTCTATTTAATCGTGTAAAAAAATTTGAAATTTGCTTCATTAATTCTCGACTAATTGTTGTTTCAGAATAACGGAAATTAACGTAGCGCACTCATCTTTAGAATTAAAATTCGGCCCTGCATGATTTCGGTTTTGGTTCAGACGTGAAGTAAGACTTTTTGCCATTAGAACGTCACTGTTAGTCTAGTTGCTTTCCTATTTTGTGAGGTTTTGTTATTTTTAAACATTAATAAATCAACACGCAGCAAATTGCAAAATTTTTTGCACGGTTGAATAGAGAATAAAACCCCCTTTCAAATGAGCTATCACTCACCACCCCATGCCATTTAAATTTTTCGAAAGGGTTGCTACCCTCCAGTAAGGGATGAAATTAAGGGTAAACTAATCATGCAAAAATGTACATTGTAGAAATCAAAAATCGATCTGTCTCGGCGATTTTCCTAACAAGATCCCAATAACGAGTTAGTTAGGGGGGTAAGACTTATGATGCTCACTGTATAGTTTATCCTCTAAACATTTATAGAGGTGCTGCAAAATAACCGGAAAAAGCCTATAATAACTAGATAGGAAAGTCATGTGTTGGACACATCAGATTTTTAAATTTATTATTTAAGGAACAATTTTTATTGTTAAAGGTAGTTTGTTGTAGAAGCTGGGTTGTAAAACTAGATTGTAAACCTAAGTTGTTGTAAGAAAAGGTTATAAAACTATGTAAAATAAAATAGAGATTAAATTTTCAAGAGGGAGATTTCAACAGCAAAATGGCAATAATGAAAATCTTCTAATTGATTTTTTTTCATCAACATTTTTAACAATATTTTTTTCGCCACTTTATTTTGCATCAACATTTTTATGACATTATTTTCTTTATGCTGGTTATAAAAATAGGTAGAAAATTGTATTGTAGAGACTGATTTGTAAAACTAGGTGGTAAATCTAGATTATAAAATTAGATTGTAAAACTAGGTTGTAAAAGTAAATAGTTCTCAAAAAAACTTTTTATACCTCTAGTGGCAAAAAGAAATTCTCAAAATTATATATTTTTTAATGGCTACAGGAATTGAACAGATTCCCAAACTCTGTAAAAAACCTAACAAATACTTAGTTTTGAGTAGTCCACTCTGTATAACAAAATTCACTTTGTAGAAGTTGAAATATCTTGGACAATTAGTTAACACGTAAACTTTATAACAATTTTTGATACCAAATTTCACTAGAAATGGTCTTGGACGACTTGCTAAAAACATTAATCAAACGCTGGTCATTATGTCATTCCGTTGCGACATTTAGGCGGTACATTTAAAATAAGGGTGAATGCAATACATTACAAATAGTAGATTGGTTGTCGAAGACAAAATTATTAATTAAAACAACGTCAAATAGTATAAAATTTAATTTCCGACGATTAGGTAACATAGATTTGATTACATTTTACGACATAACCCGAAATAAATAAATCATTAGCGAAATTAAATCGGCTTTCTGAACGCTTTGCCGGCGTACCGCGTGTCTCGGGCCAGTTCCTCTTCGATTCTTAAAATCTGATTGTATTTGGCCAACCTTTCCGATCTGCACGGCGCTCCGGCCTTTATTTGGCCGGTCGACAAGCCGACTACCAAGTCGGCTATGAAAGTGTCTTCGGTCTCTCCGGATCTGGTCGACACCATCGTGCCCCAGCCGTTGCTTTTCGCCAACAAATGCGCCTTTATTGATTCAGTTATTGTGCCTACAAGTATTAAAAGTAATTTTAAAAAACCGACTTCAAAATTCAGCTCTTCGTTTCTTAGTATTTTAGTGTTTAAAATATCTGAGCATTATTTTGAAAAGTAATGGTTGAGTTTATTAATGAGGAGTAGTTAGCAGACATGCATTACGTGTATGATTTGGCTGATGGCAGATCGCCGGAAACCAGGCGATTGTATCAAGAGCGCTTTCCTAATAGTCATTCTAAATATACAAACTGAGACAGGTACTTTGAAGCCAAATAATTAAAACAGGCCTGTTGACTTGCAAAATATTCTGCTGTTAATTGTACAGGACAATTTGTTGAACTGTATTTATTTTGAGAAAGGAACCCGTTGTCCGTAAATGAAACACTGAAGAATGGAACACTGTTCATTTGACAACAACTGACAACACAATTTATTTACATATTTACACTACTAACCACTCATGCTTGTAGGAAATTCAGTCTCATGCTATTTCATAATTCGTATACATATATCTGCCCAACTGCAAGCAAAAAATATGCCCGAGTTTACATCTTGACGATTGAGAAAAATCACACGTTATATAAGACGATAACAAAAATTGTTTGAAGTTTGAAAGTTAAAAAATACGACCCCGAGACATCTGTACTATTGAACGTTTGAAATCGGAGTGGAGTGATAAGCGAGAAAAAGGAATTGTATTGTTGTAGGTGTTGCGGGAAGAACTTGTCAGTTTTTTGTGTGTGAGTGACCGCCACTGTTTATATGTTAATATATTTTGCGATTTTTTAAATAAGTGCATATTTAAAATCGCCTCTCACAATAATATTCAAGTAAACGAATAAAGAAAAATAATTTAAAAAATCGTTACCGATCTGATTGAGCATCAACAACAAGCAATTGCATGCCGAACTATCGACGGCTTTCTGAATTCTCTTCGCATTGGTGACGGTCAAATCGTCTCCGACGATCTGTATCTGAACTTGTTTCGTCATGTTCGTCCAAGCATCGAAATCGTCTTGTTCGAAAGGATCTTGTATGGAAGCAATCGGATACGAGTCGATGTAGCTCTTGTAAAGGTTAAACAGTTCTTCCGGTTTCATCCATTTCCCCTTGTTGGAGGACGGATTTTTGAAATCCAAGTCGTACAGACCTGCAACAGTTAATAGTTATTTTGTGTAACCCAGCATGATTATAACGCTCGACATTGTTTTGAGCTACGAACTTCATACATTGTGCAATAAATATAATTTTTTTTAGAATTTTATTAGAGAGTCACTGAAAGGTCTGCACAGAATGCTAGCACACATTCATTAGGCTAAATTATGAGGATCTAGCCCAATTTATCTTAGTCAAAAGATGATGGTTTTCAAATTACAGGGAGTCAAAGTTTTAATTTTTTTATACTGTTTTAAGTAGGTATACAAATAATAGACTAAGAGCCAGCGACCACCATATATACGTTATACTATAGAGGTTAAGATTTGGATGTCTATGCACATGATGGTAGGTAATAACGTTTGAGTTAGTTGATACTGATGACACAAAATTAAAAAAAAATTAAAAATAATGTTTGAGTCTCATAAATCTTGTCCACAGGGGGATGGGTTGGTAAATAACAGCTCAAGATATGAAAAAGTGTCAGGAAATTACGTTATAGTATGAAAGCTGATTTTTTTAATATGTTCATCTTATTCACATGATATTTTAAGATTTGTTCCAACCTAAATTAAATCAGTTTACGTACTGTTTAGAATTCTTGTTTCAACAAACTTCAGAATCAAAACTGTATGAAAACATAGTGTTTCGACACAAGTAAAACCGATTTGTGTACTGTCAAATCAGTTCCTGAGTCTGAATAGGAACGAATTGTCAACACATGCTCAAACCCGCAATAACCTGAAAATTTCGTTATTGTAATTATATTATTTTTATCTATCCTCTCGGACTGCTCTGATTTGTATTTGTCAATCGAATTTAGTCTTCATAGTTTTCTTTCATTATCATTTATTTTATTTTGTGGTTTATTATTCAAATAGTTCGTCTGTTGAATTTATTAAAAATATATAACCCAGTTCTGAGTTTAAGTCTCAATCTCCGATTGTCAATTACTAGATGTCGACAGATTGTCAACAATAGGTCGTGGGCTGTTTTATGTATGGTTCTAAGATCGTTGATGGAACAAACCTTGTTGAAATTACATTCAACATGTCCTATCTGCAGGGCAGATTAACCTAAATCCGCACTTAACAAATAAAAAAGAATAAAATACTAAATAGACACTCCCTGTATAAACCTCCGCACTTAACAAATAAAAAAGAATAAAATACTAAATAGACACTCCCTGTATAAACCTCCGCACTTAACAAATAAAAAAGAATAAAATACTAAATAGACACTCCCTGTATAAACCAATTATCCAAAGCTGCTCAATAACAACCCCTTTTAACTTTCAAATAACCTTCAAAGACACCTGCTGCCTCGAGAACAGTTAAAAATAATCACGCGAGACATTTCACCCAATCATAAGATAGATCTTAAAAACAATAGTCTCGCATGCAAACATACGAGAAAAGAGAGCCAATTAGAAGAAAGCTAAAAAGCCGGTGTGGGTTGAGAAGCATCGCAGAACAAAACTAAACTCTCACTTTCGCTTTCGGACAAGCAACAAGTCACAAAAACTATAACCTAAAAAGCCGGCAATGGGCAGTAACCAATTCCAAGCATTGTACGATTTGATTTATAAAAGTTAATATGTAACTTATCAATAATTTTATGTAACAAAGTTGTAAATGTGTTAAATGTGAAAGTATCAAGCAGTGACTATATCAAAATCAAATGTAGGGTGATGGTTTTATTTTAATACACCCAGTGCTTCAACTAGAACTTCAAGAATATCTTCCAGAGGCTACAGGGTGGAGCATAAGGCCTTCATCCCCAGGTAATATAATTTGAAGCTAGGGTTTAACAAACCTTTTATCTCCAATCAACAATTACCTAACACTTTTCGTGGGGATTTACGTTTGCCAGACGCCTTCAAAATGTCTGCACTTTATAGAAAACTACTTTATTCTTAATTTTTAGAAAATGTTATGGTAAAAGTTTGTACATGACCTGAAACTCACTACAAACCTGATACATATTAAAAAAATTAAACCATATACGAGGGAGGTAAAAAATATGAATTTAGCACAAGAGAAAAGAACTCTTAATTTTAAAAACAAAAAAAATGTTACTTAAAAAATTTGTTTAAAATTATCATCTACCACCACACCAATTAGACAGCATTATTTCAAATGAGTATTGGTACCTTCTTTGAATAGTTGCGTTCCTGCTGCATCGATGGCGATCTCGATCCTCCCGACGTATCCCGCATTGGCGATGGCCGTCGTTAGCAGGTTCAATGCATCTTTGGCATCCGATATGTTCGGAGCAAATCCCCCTTCGTCGCCGACAGAGTCCATTTGGTACTGCTCTTTCACCAAGGCTCTCAAATGGTGGTACGTTTCGGTGCCCATTTTCATCGCTTCCGCAAAGCTTGTCGCGCCGGTCGGCAGAATCATAAATCCCTGTAATATATTTTAAACGTTATTTAAGGCTTAGCTAGCGGCCTCGTGTTAAGAACAGTACTAAAAGTTTAATAATATCTTGCATCCGTAAGAAGAAGGTGATATCTCAAAATTTGGAAACATTTAATCCCAGATTACCAGTTTGAATTTCTCTCGTCACTCAACCATTCAGCAGTGCCACAGGTTAGTCAACAGAATACAAGAAAGCAGAGGTTCCCAAACTCTTTTGTTTCATAGACCACTTTCTAAATTTTGCTGGATCCGGTCACTACAAATTTCTAAATCTCGAAAAAAATAGGTGAAGATTAGATCTATCTATGGAAACTTGCGTTGTGGCTGAGTTTTAACAACGAATTAACAGTTTTCGAAAAAAAGATTAGAATTGATTGCTTGATAGGGTTAATTATTTGATAATAAAGTCGACTAAACAAATTTTCAATTAAATTTTAATTGATTGTGCTGTGAGTGGATGTCAAAAAAGCAAAGTTGGCTAAACGAAAAAGTGACTTCATCCAACTTTACTATTTTACTTTCCTATCTGTATACAGATATAAGGAAAGTATAGGAATCATGATTTTTTTTTCGACCTCGAGTTTTCGACGGATTTTTACGTTTTGAATCCTGAATCCGTTTTGACTATTTTCGCGATGATGTCGTTTGTGTGTGTGCGTGTGTGTGTGTGTGTGTGTGTGTGTGTGTGTGTGTCTGTGTGTGTGTGTCTGTGTGTGTGTGTCTGTGTGTGTCTGTGTGTGTCTGTGTGTGTGTGTCTGTGTGTGTGTCTGTGTGTGTCTGTATGTGTCTGTGTGTGTCTGTATGTCGCATAACTCATAAACCGATACACAGAAAAACACCAAATTTTAAACTTAAGCTTTATTCCAGCGTCTAATGAACTGATTAGATTTTGGGCAGAGTCGGAACATCTGGGGGGTACTTTATAGGTGGTCATTTTTATATTTTATGGAATATATCTGTTATTTACGTTTGGAGAAGAAAATTCTTCCAATAAAAGTTACTTCTTATATAATTATCTATAATTTTTCTGTCTGACAGATACTTCCAAGTTAAATACGAAGAAACTTTATTCACCTACCATCCACTAAAATCCTGAAAGAAGTGTACTCGGCCCGTTCGTATACTTAATTTTAACTGCTGACATAGCCATCAGTGATCATACATTAATGGCAACATTTGCGGATGACACTGCTATACTAGCATCAGACACTGACGAAGTAAGAGCATTCAAAAAACTGCAAAACCACCTCAACGAACTAGAACATTGGATTAGACACTGGAAAATGTGCGTCAACAAATCCTGTTAAGTTAATTTTGAAGAATTAGATGTCCACAACTACACCTAAATAATACGCCTATACCAATTAATACAGACGAAAAACTTACTTGGAAATCACATATTAAAGTTAAACGACGGCATCTCGACGTAAAAGTTAAAAATATGAGCTGGGTAATCAACAGAAGATCGAAACTTTCATTAGATAACAAACCATCTATACTAAAGCAATACTCAAACCAATTTGGACATACGGAATAGGGCTGTAAAATACTACATACGTTCCGGTTTAAGACCATTTGAATGTAAGACTAAAGCCTCATGGTACGTCTTCATGCAGACATCAACATTCCATTTATATATGATATTACTCACCACTCCAGCAGATATACGAATCGCAGTGAAAACCACCCAAATCACCTCATAGACAAACTCTTTGACTCTCCACTCACCGAAAGACACTTAAAAAGACTTTGACCAGAAGACCTAGCTGCTAGGTGAATTCCAGAGAGCCTCAAGCCACTCACCAGACTTGATTCATTAACACCTTCTCTAAATTCGTCATCAGTTCTTGGGCTAATAGTTAAATTAGGCTGCAATAATCAGTGTGATAAACTTATATTGTATTTTCAATCATTCATTTGACTAATTTGTCAGTTGTTGATATTCGGAATATAAATTGTCCCACAACTGATACATTTGTCAACTAATTTGAGAACCTACAAAATCATTTATTTTTTAAACGTATTGGATTAAGATTATAAGGGCAAGTCTAAGGGGTAAAAGGCGCAAATATTTATACAGAAATTGTTTAAAATTCAAACTCTAATTAAAAGGTTAGTAATATGAAGAATTTTTACGTAGTTTAGACCAAGTAACGTCAGTACTTTACAAACCTGAAAAACTTAACGGGAATCAAGTAATACGGCAAACTTATTAATATACCTATATCTAATTTAATATACATTAAAAAACGAGACTATGTTATTATTAAATTCTAAGCATTTTATGAAATAAAATGCATAATCATTTATATAAATTCCAAAGAATAACATTTACCTGCATTGCTAATTTAGTGCCGGTATGCGCGCCTCCATTGATGACATTAAAAGCAGGCACGGGCATCACCAAATCCTTAATTCCTGCCAAATCGGCGATATGTCTATACAATGGCAGACCCCTTTTGGCGGCGCCAGCCTTGCAAACGGCTAAGGATATTCCCAAAATGGCGTTAGTTCCGAACTTCGATTTATCGGCTGTTCCGTCTAGATCGATTAAAAATTGATCGATTTTTTCTTGTTGGGTAACGTCCATTTCTTGTTTACATAGTTCCGGTCCGATGACGTTGTTCACGTAGTCTATGGCTTTGAAGACGCCTTTGCCGTGGTAATCTTTTGCTACTCCATCCCTTATTTCAACCGCTTCGTAATCGCCTAAAATAAAAATAAAGTATTTCCTTATTACAATTAATTAAGAGTTGTATCGCAGAATAGATGAACAATAAAGAAAAGAAACAAAGTCTGTAAACAAAATACAAGTTATATCTTGAATAACACTAAAGACTTTTAAAAAATATATTTTATTATTGAAAAGTATAAAGTAATGTTTCTTGTGAGTTGTTATAAACTGAAAACTTAAATTTGTGTCACCCATATTTATAAGGTAAGGTAATACAATAGAGATACAGTAAAAAAGTGTAATGTGACAAAAGTGTTACAAGAAATGCAACTTAGCTAAATATAATGATATGATAACTATTCTAGGGATTGCAACTAACCATAATTTAACTCTAATGAATTTACTATGAAATAATATACAGTATGAATTTTTATATAATATGCATGTTTTCAATATAATGATTAGTTCACTATTAATTTTATGAAAGTGAACCAAGAGTGCCTTTTTTTCGTAAAAAATATTGAATTTTGTAAGTATGGTCTCAAATTTAATCAAATGTAGAGGATAAAACTTTTTTACACCACACTCCTCTAATTATGGCCTCTACGTTACGAGGATAAAATTTTCGAACTGGATCTTACGTTCAAAATATCAATTTTATCGAATTATTTATCGGTACCAGTTTCAAAAATATCATCAGAAAACCATAGTTGGTTCTCTTCAAAGGAGCCTTGCTCCCTTATAAAACATTTTTGGATGTATGTTGAAATTTTTTGTTTTATTTTTACCTAGATAATCTACTGTTACAATATTTGCCTGTATAATTTCTGAAAATTTGTTTAGTAAACACAATATTTTCGAGAAAAATAGTTGTAAAAGAGTGTTTACTTGCCTGTGCTTGCTCCAGATGGTACAGAGGCTCTGAACAGGCCCAGATCTGTCACCAGATCGACTTCTACTGTGGGTATCCCTCTCGAATCGAAGATATTTCTACCATAGACGGCTTTAATGGGTTTAACACCTTTGCTGGCTTTTCGGCAAGACATTTTTTGTATAAAAAATTACTTAAACATGAAAAATAAAGAAATAATGATGTTTTGACATGACATGAATATTGATGGCATTGATGAGGATGACATTTACACAGTGGCGTCGTTAAAAAAATCGTTTTTATTTCTTAATCAATAAGTTTTGTATTATTCTATTTATCTTTTTTGTTTTTTCGCATTGATTTCAAAAATCAAAATGAAATGTAGTAATAGCAGTTATGAAAAACTGAAATCCTGAAACAGTGTCCATTTAATCGATTGTGTAGCATTATAAAATAGATCTGTTCCAACAAATGTGAAAACCGTAAAATTGTGTACAGCACATGATCTGCACCATAATATAATATTATGGTTTTCGTGTATGTTGGACCAGACCTAATAACCGAGATACTAATACATGCAGCACGTATCTACGACATACAAAAACGATAAATTTAAATGATTCTAGGCGTCCTTTAAGCCATTTAAAAGTTATTTGATACTTTGAACGTAATCAAACACCCAAAATCCTTCTAGAAATCTTAAAAAAAGGCTTGCATATAATTGTAAGTGATTTTATTATAAAATTAAAAATGCCTAATTGAATAAACATTTTGTACAATTTTCTAAATGCAATTTTACTGTTTTTAATTTTTACAATTGGAATTATGTTAGGGGCACAATAAATAATTTTTCTTCAATGCCATTCTTTTGGGAAACTTCTATAATTTCGTTATTTTTTTTGTCTGCTAGTTTTGGAAGATTTAACATTATCTTGATATTTTCTAATTCTTCTTCCAATTTGTTTATTCTTTCCAGAAGTTTTTCCATTTTCTCGGTTTCCATTATCTTTCAAAAAAACTATTTTTTTTAACGTGATATGATTAATTTTCTGTTTTCGAGTGTCAAAAATGACAAGATTAAAGGAGTGCTGCATGCACAACATAGTACAGAGTCAGCAGTTAGAATAGTATATTAATATACAAGTAGCAGAAAGCCATATATTCCCATGATATATTCCCGCACGAATTTGAAATTTGGCCACGAGCCACAAGGGAGCGAGTGGACGAACGAATGAGTGCAAGAATAGCCTTTTGCAACGTGTTTTTATACTATTTTCTCGAATTTGGGCTTTATTAACCGACTTCAAAAAAGGAGGAGGTTATCAATTCGTCGCGATATTTTTTTTTTATGTATGTACAGCGATTATTCTTTAACACGGTGTCCGATTTCAATAATTCTTTTTTTGTTAGAAAGGGGCTACTTTAGGGGTGGTCCCATATAAATTTCGTCAAAATCTAATAATTGGGTCCATGAGAAAATCCTCACTCTTCATTTTTTATGTTTGTTTAGCGATAATGCTTTACCACCTTGTCCGATTTATATGATTCTTTTTTTGTTAGTAAGGGGGTACCTCAGGGGTGGTCCCATATAAATTTGTTTAAGATGTGGTGATGGCATCTGCACGTTTTTGAAGTCGGTTTCTTTAAATTTTTAATTTACAGTTTTCTATTTTATTTGTTTTGTGGTCGTTGCTTGGAATAGGTAATAGAGGACGCGTAACAAGTATATGGAGCACACGTAGTATTCTGTGCCGATTATCTATTGGCCGCCATTATTTTGGTGCTAATCATTTCGGTGACGCCAAAGTTTTTGTTCGTGTTTATTTCTGATTTTTGAATTAAACGATATTTAATAATTGGTTTATTACAATGGTTTATTATGTGGCATATCAGTGTAAAAGTTATAGCGGCAATAAATAAGCAGATATTACGTTTTACAGGTAAATAATAAACTTCAATCGTTTTCACTTTATATATTTTCTTATATTTTTCATTTTATTTGGTGTTATACAACTTGGTATTTACATATTATACATGTCTCACTCCAGAGTAATAAATTTTACCCACCAAGTTTGTTTATTTTATGTCTTTCATTGATATTTAAGCAATTAATGATATTAAAATGAACAAACATGTAATTTTTTCCAGTGGCGTGTCGTACAATTCTAAATATTAACTTTTATTATATCCTAATTTACTTTTACTTCTTATTTATTTGCAGCAATGTCTATTTGTTGTTTTATTTTAGATTTCCTGTGGATCCAGCAAAAATCTTTGGATTCAGGCAACGAAAATTTCAAATTGGATGCCTACGCCAAATGATAGTGTTCAAAACATTTTGAAAGACATTTTTACTTTCCTATCTGTATACAGAAGAAAAGTATAGGAATCATGATTTTTACGACCTCCAGTTTTCGACGGATTTTTATGTTTTGGGGTCCCCTCAATCCGTTTTGACTATTTTCGGGATGATGTCTGTGTGTGTGTGTGTGTGTGTGTGTGTGTGTGTGTGTGTAGGTGTGTGTCAGTCTGTGTGTGTGTAGGTGTGTGTCAGTCTGTGTGTGTGTGTGTGTATGTGTGTGTCAGTCTGTGTGTGTGTGTGTCTGTATCCACCATAACTCATGAACCGATACAAAGAAAAACACCAAATTTTATACTTAAACTTTATTCCGGCCTGCGGTGAACTGATTAGATTTTGGACAGAGTCGGATCATTTGGGGGGTACTTTATTGGTGGTCATTTTTATATTTTATGGAATATATTCGTTATTTATGTTTCTAGAAGAAAATTCTTCGAATAAAAGTTACTTACAATATTATTATCTATAATTTTTGTTCTATATAAAATTTTCCTAAAATGGTCCGTATTCGAGAAATTTGACAAAATGTAAAAAAAATAATTATTTATAAAAAAAATTTAAATAAAAGTTGTTTGTAATATAATTCTTTATAATTTTTGTCCCATACATAATTTCTCTAAAATGGACCGTATTCGAGATATTTGAGAAAATGTGTAAATTTCGAATTTTGAAGAAAACTCAAAAACGGATAAAGGAAAAAATATTAAATTTTAAATTCAAGTTTTATTTCGGCCTGAGATGAAATGATTAGCTTTTGGACTAAGGCGGAACATCTGGGAGGGGGGGGGGGTACTTTATGGAAAGCCGTTTTTATATTTTATGGAATATATATTATAGAAAAATGTGTCGAGTTAGATGTATGTGGAAAATGTATATATTTAGTTTATCCTGTAAACATTTATAGAGGTGCTGCAATAGGTTGTACAAAATAACCGGAAAAGCTAGATAGGAAAGTCATGTGTTGGACACATCAGATTTTTTGTTCATGTTGTTTATTATTAAAATGTCATCTTCTGGCAGAAAAGTCAGGTTTTTTCTAGGCATAAATGTATCGTTAGGGGTGGATGGTTCAGTGACTTTCAGAGTAGTAACTAAATGTGCAACTGCATACAGTAGCAGGGTTATTCGACAAGAAGTCGTTGTTAGAAAAAGTCTACTGGTAGATCTAAAAAAATAACAGAAGATTGGGCAAAAAATGCAGTTAGACAAATATGCATCTCTTATTAAAATTAAACTGTTTTCAACAGTGATACGAGTCAAATTAGGACATTATTGTTGATAATTTCATTACAAATATGTTGTAAAATACTTTGGAAGATCGCCATAACTCAAAAGAGGAGTGAAAACATAATATTCATATTGCTACTTTCAAAAAAAGGCAGCTGGAAAGCAGTTTTCGTTCTTCCGGCTTTACAAAGTTGCAGAAAAACACAAATCTAATTGTGCTCCGATAGATACTGAGAAAAGATCGTCAATTTTCGGTAGAGTGACATAATTCAAATTCTTTTATAAAAAATAAACTATTTTCAACAGTAACACAAATAAAATTTCGACATTATTGTTGAAAAGGTCATTATCAATGTTTTGAAATATACTTTTGTGGAAGATAGTCATAACTCAAAAGAGATTAATATATTTTTGGGTTTACAATTTCAAAAAAAGATCGCTGGAAAGCAGTTCTGACGTTCTTCCGGTACTACAAAGTAGCGAGTTCATGATGATGATGAAGAGTGGCATAAATCTAGTTGGGCCCCGACATTAAATGAGACAATATCTTCAAGTTTCGACTAGAATGATATAAATTAAAATATGCAAATTATTTGTAAAATACTTCCAACCTTTGAATTTTTTGGTCATTTTTCACGTTTTTACTATAATAAGACATGAAATGAAAAGTAAACCATTAAAGTCAATAGTTATTTGTAGTTTCTTTATTTTTAACTATATTTTACCTTTGTTTGTAAAAAATTAGGCAAAATTAGTTAATTTAAATTCGTGCATGCGCAATACTTTTCCACTTTTGAAAAGTGTATTTAGACTAGTCAACTTTTCAGACTAATCCATCCAGACTTATCTACGGACTTTTCCAAGCGAGCCATCACTATTAAAAATACACTATTTTCAATAATGACACAAGTCAAATTAGGTCATTATTATTGAAAAGGTCATTATCAATATTTTGTAAAACATACTTTTCAAGAGAGGGATGAACATATATTTTTGGGTTTATATTTTTATGTGGATAAATTTCCACTTCCAAAAATTACCATTGTAAAGCAGTGCTGTCGTTCTTCCGGTACTACAAAATCGCGAGTTTATGATGATAAAAAATGACGCAAATCTAGTTGTGCTCAGACAGTCAATTTTTAACCTTAAAGATCGTAAATTTTCGGCTAGAGTGACATGCTACTTTCATTAAAAATAAACTATTTTCAACAGTGACACAAGAAAAATTAGAACATTATTGTTGAAAAGGTCAATATTAATATGCTGTAGAATATAATTTTCTGGAAGACCATCATAACTCAAAAGAGGAATGAAAATATATTTTAGGGTTTTTTTCTAAATGTTAAAATAAAACAAGAAACTTTAAAATGGATCTTCTCGAAAATATATGTTTTTGAGTTGTGCCACTATTCTTGTGTACCAACGATATATTTATTTCCTACAATATCAACGCCTCTGGATTATGATGTATTATTTCCACTCTCACTGAACTCCTTCTCCGCTTTTACTATTTCATAAAAATGTTTGTTACGCGGACACAGTCTTATCTCAATTTCTGTTGTTTAAATAAAACGGTAATACTTTTTAAACATATTTTAATTAATAAAAAAAACTTTGTACTGGAAAATATAAATACTATTTATTGTAAACTATCAACTAAATTACGCATCTAAGCTATCAGTCTCAGTTTTCCCTTTTCCTCCGGTTCTTCTGACCCACAGAAATCCCTTTCTCTGAAAATAATCCTCGATTTCACTTAAACTGCGCGACTTCGTTTCCGGCAGAGCCAAATATAAAAACAGGCAAGCCATCAGGGACGAAGCTCCGAATATCCAGAAAACTCCCGAAATGCCGACGACACTTCTGACAAACGGAAAAACTTTCGAAACACCGAACAACATTAAATTGAACACCATGAACGTCAATCCACCCGAAAGTCCGCGTATTTTAGCTGGAAATAGTTCACCTAATAAAACCCCGGGAAGAATCAGAAACCCTAAAGTATTCGTGGCCACGTAGATCAACACGAAAAGGGCCGGGACGTAGTTGAGCCCTTGACAGTTCTGGTGCAAGAAAGTCCCTAGAAAAATAGCCGAAATACCCGTTCCTAAACCGGACACCATTGCCAAAGTTCTCCTACCGATAAAAGCCAGCAGAAAACAGCCGATAATGCTGAAAACGAATCGTACGCAAGCTGTTAAAATAGCTACAACGAAATGGTCCAATTTTTGTCCGCCCTGTACGTATTTTAAGATATCGACTGCGTAGAAAACGATTAGATAAGTTCCCGATAGCAATTGCATTATGTTGAAAACGTTGATGATGATGAGCGGTTTCAATACTTCCGGTTTGAAAAGGGTTGTAAAGGAAACTTTGTTGTCTGAAAAGGAATCGGATTCTAGTCGGTCGATGAGGTGTTGGGTTTCTTCTTTGGCCTACGAAATAACATAATCCAGTTATTTTTGGTATTTTTGATATGATATTTTTGATGGTATTTTCGATGATGTTTACGGTGATATTTTCCCTTATTTTAATGAGTTAATTTTATCTAATAAGACACTTTTAAATTTAAAGCTTAACAAGAATATTTTTTTTTTTTGTAAAATTAACAATAAAAAAGTTTCCAATTTATGGTTGGTTATACTATAAATAATTGGTGAATTTTTTTAATATCTACAATGTTTATTGTCTATGAACTGATAAATAAATGAAGAATAAGATTTTTAAAAATCTTTTTTTAAGTATTAAAACGAATAAGATATTTATTTACTTTTGATTTGTTGCCTCCCCTTAACCATGTCAGATCGGTTTTAGCTTCTTCCAATTTTCCATGTCTTACCGACCATACTGGACTCTCAGGAAGAAAAAAGAATACTATTAATGATGCAATCGGAAGGACTGTACCAGATACTAAAAAAAAAAAAACATACAGGGTAGCGAACAAATCTGGTAACAAGGTATTTTCTTTAATAACGAAGACTGTATAATTACAATAAATGGGATTGTATTCTAGAGGACATGTCAAATTTATGTAACGTCAGCGTCCCGCCGCAATCTTGAATTTTTTAAACGGCAACGTAGGTCGAGTCATATATCAAGAGAAAATCTTATTTTCTCCTCTTTTCATCGACTAGGATCATTTATTATCGACCCTATCCTTTTGATTCCTGTACTCGACTGGTTACTAATATATGCTCCATTGAAGAGACAATTACTTCCGTTCATCTCCTGTTGATGTTACGTACATCTCTCTTTTATCCCGCTCCCATATACGATATACACCTTTTGAAACCTTAAACGCCAGCCTCTCCTTTTCCAACTTTCCACTTGCCTGGAAATCCGCCAATTCCATTTTGATTCCCAAACTAGGCAAGGACCCCGAATCCTTAGACTCACATCCTCTTATGTCTCTCGTATCAGTGCTATAGGTAAACTCCTTGAACTTCTGCTCAAGAAAATAATCTGTGAATAGCGAAACACAATTCCTCAATCCCAACCCGGGAGGTAATCTACTCACTTCATACTACTGCGGTCACAGCAGTAAACTATCTCAAAATTTATTCAGCCGTTCTTATCGATGTTCATAAGGTCTTTAACCAAGTGTGGCATGCCGGACCTGTCAAAAAGCTCAAGAACATGGGTCTCCCCTCAATATTTCCATACATTTATAATTTATTGAGAAAATAAAACAACTCCAAATCCATCCCACATATAAATATATTAATTAATCAAGGCGACCGGTTTCGGCTACAAAGCCATTTTCAAGCCTAAGATCTTAGCTGGTTTCTAAAGGTGAAATACAATTGTAGATACTAAATCTACTATATAAAATTTAACTTAACATATGAGGTGCAAGAGGTACAGTTGATATTAAAGACTCTTTAGGCTTGAAAATGGCTTTGTAGCCGAAACCGGTCGCCTTGATTAATTAATATATTTATATGTGGGATTGATTTGGAGTTGTTTTATTTTCTCATTGAAGATGGCCACATTTGAGAGGTTGGATTCCCTTCATAACTTATTTATAATTTATCCCGTTTTCTGGAGTACCACAGGGCTCCGTGCTGTTCTCTATCTTCCACCCCCAAACCACCCATCGTCAACATGTCTTCAAGCTTCAATAATTGTAGTGATTTAAGTTTTCGTAGTTTCCATAAATCATATTTTCCTCCTTATATTACGAACTTGTCTATATGTAAAGTTCGAAATAACAAAATTGACGATATTATTTTGGGAACACAACCTGCCACACTTTTAGGAATAGCTAGTCTAGGTTATATAGCAGGGGATTAGAAAAAATTAAATGATCTAGAAAAATGGAAAATAAAACTAAAGACGAAATAAATATTAAACTAAACTAAAAAAAATTACCTGCTACATATCTCCAAGGAAGCAACGAACCCAGAGCGTAAACCAACAAAATTCCAAATGAGTAACTCGCTAATGGTATACTGGAAAATAACCCACGTAAATGAGGTTCTGATATTTCACTTACAAAAACCTAAAAAAAAATACTCTGGTATCATAATTGCGTTTCTCATCTTTATTTAATTAGCGGTCATTTTGAGTAAAAATTTGTACATTTATAATTTAATTACAGTTAAATAAGGAAATAATAATCTGGCAGGGACACCGTGGTTGCGACACCTAAATTTAAATTTTTGAAAATATCAAAAAAATTGTTAAAATTAACGTGTTTTTTCAAGGCTAAAACTTTCAGAAAATGTTCTTTGAATTATTTTATCTACATAATTAAACTGCGAAACCATTCTGGCGGTGATATTTTTTTTTAAGCTTGTAGTAAGAACTTAAACTGATTTAATTACTCGTCGTGGCGTACTTTCCGAAAATAACAATAAATCGCAATTTATTTTTAGAAGAAAATTCCAATTTTTTATTGAAAATTCCAAATTATTGAACACTTTTAGATAAGAATCTTTTATTGGTCTGTTAGCTGTCAAAATGACCGCCATATTGGATAACATTATTTCTAAACATTGGAATAAAATAAAATGGAGATGTTATGACGACTTTAAAAGTGACCGCACCTTTGCATTACACTTTTACGTCATATCTCTAACTCGAGTTAGTCAGTTTTAAATAGCTTCATTTAAATGATATAAAAACATTTACATTCCGTCAATATTTAAATATAAAATTATTGAGTATGAATGTAACATCAAATAAATCAAAGTACGATTCTAAGTCGCCATTTTGATTATATTTTTCCATAACTCTGTCATATCTCAAATTAGTGTTTATGTCATTTTTATTTCATTATCTATCGATGTTTCTAAATATATTACTAATAACTCGTTTTAGAAAGAATAATATGGGAATGAATTACCTTTAAAAATCTTTGTAAGCCTTAGGGTTCTCATCAAAGCTACCCAAATTAAACCAGTGGCGTATCTAAACATTTTTGTTATTGGTAGACCTCTAAAATATTTCCGCTCTTATCTCAGTCATTATTTGAGATATCGAATTAATTTTTTGTTTGTTTAAGAACTTCGAACAAGAACTTTCTTATGACGGGATTTACTTATTTTGTGACGTCGTAGCGTACTACCTGATTTTATGAAAATAACAGTAAATCGCAGTTTTCATTTTTAAATGAAAATACTTACTATTTATTGTAAATTATAATTTATTAAACATTTCTGGATCAGAATATTTTATAAAACATTTCTGTAAAGAATCTTTTATTAAAAATTTTCTGTCAGCTGTCAAAATAGCTACCGCATTAAATATAATTTCTAAAAACATTAAAAACTCTTTATTTATATTTAGACCAACCCAAATTCCACCAATGGCGTATCTAAGAATTTTGGTTATTAGTAAATCTGTTAAAAATTCCCCCTACTCTTATATTAGTTATTATTTGAGATTTTTAAATAATTTTTTTGATAGCTTGAAACAAAAACAATTTTTAATTTTTAAATGAAAATCCCTATTTTTTTATAATTAAATACTTCAGAAAACAGTCCAGAGGCGTTAGGTGTGGGTTACTTGTAAGCCAAATAAAAAATAAATAAATGGCGATTTACTGTTATTTCCGGAAAAACGTCAAATACACCAAGGCGTCACAGAATAATTGAATCAGTTATAATAAAGTTCTAACTACAACTTTTAAACAAAAAAAAAAGTAATTTCGATATCTCAATTAATAACGAAGAAGGTTGAAAATTTAAGTGTTCGCTCTGTATACTCGTCTAGGGAGCACTAGCAACCGTCAGAATGGTTTGGCAGATGTAATATCGCGATAGCAAGCGATACCCTTAACGGTCTCTTCACATCTGAACACATGTAATTATATTAAACACATTTCGGTAGAAGCGACCGACGAAATCAGATATAGTATGACAATATTTGCCGCCTTACTTCTGTCTCAGTCTCGCGTTGCCAAATGGTACTTTAAGAGTTTTTCTAAATTATAGGTTATATGATGTCAAAGCTTAAAAAAATTAAATTTTTGTAAATTATTAAAATATTGCGTAAATTGTCGACCTTATATTAAAATATTAAACAGCACTCTTTTAGAGTATTACATTCTCCACAATGTATGTCAAAGACTCCATTTTGTGCAATCAATATTTCCCTACTTATAACTCAAGTATGGCAATCGATTCCCTATGATTAAAAAAACAATTACACCGTCACTGCTTTAACTTATAAAGCAAAATTTGACTTCTGCCTAATCCGTCAGCGTCATCCCTTTTATTGAAATTCTTCCCTTTTTTTTTAATAAAAAGGAACATTTTAATAGACTTATTTGAATAAAATGTCCTTAATTACTAAAGTGTCGATCGTCGTTCGCCATTTTTCACTACATTTAATTGAATCGAACAGCTTTAAAACGCATTAGAATAAAACATCGATATTCCCGAGTATTATAGTGCTTTATATTCGACCGAGAATAATTTTATTCGTTTTTTGTTCCTTCACAATGCGAAGATAATAATTCAAACGTCTCTGTTGCATTTATTGAAAATATATTTCGATTACATAAACGAATAGATAAGTAAAATGTAGTTTACCTGTCCGGCTGCGGCAGTCAATCCAGCAGAAAATCCCGCCATTAATCTACCTAGCAAGAGTACGGCGTGATTCGAAGAAAATGCGATGAGCATCCATCCGATTATCAAAGGAATCGATGCAATTTGTAGAGCTAATTTCCTTCCGCAACGTTCCATCAGCACGCCGCTGAGTAACGAACCTATTGGGGTCGCCGCAGAATGGATACTAGCTAGAAAATAAATAGAATTTACAGAACTTTTTAAATATTTGTGACAATAATTGTGCTTATTTTTCTATTTTAAAGACAATAAGAATAAACAGTTTTAGAAATTTAAATAACCTTTTCCAAATAATTTTTATACATATAAAATTTTTTATGGTAATAAACTAAAATATTTATTAAAATTTGTATATTTTCGTTGGCGGGTTGTAGAAATTAGAAAAAGTACCTCATTATTTATTGATAAACTAAAACATGTTATCTGAAAATTCAGTCATTGGCAAACACACCGATATTCACCCCGCCTCGATATAAACATTCTAATTTGTTGATTGGTTTACTTTAAATTTAGTTTGGTTGTTTAGAAACATCATGTTATACCTAATAATAATAGTGCTACAGAAAAATGACTTCAACTTTAAAGCAGATAATGACTTTCTAATGTTTCTAATTCTGATTAAGAGCTGTTAGCGGCCGTATCTCAGAATATCTTGAGTTAAAAAAAAAAAAAACATGAAAACAGGTCGATTTTTATTTCAAGAGGACACCTTCATATCATATCCTCGACCGTATGTCATTCCTCTCCATGACGTTACATCGAAAAGGTAATTTTGTGGTAAATTCAGCAATGACTGTTCATTGCGTCGCTTTTGATTTTAGCGCCCTCTAGTGGGATAAAAACTATTACGTATTATAAAGTGTGACATTTCATTTGAAATCTAATTTTATTGGTAATCCAATGCACCACAACCCATTTACCTAAATATTTCCATATCGTACTTGCAACAAAATAAAGTTATTAATAATTTTCATTTTAAGTTCATTTTTGATTTCGTTAGCGTAATATTATGTAGAGCGTTGAATTAATAATAAAATTAGCTTTCAAATAAAGTGTCACACGTAACAATTAAATATTCCGCTAGAGGGCTCTAAAATCAAAAGTAACGCAATGAATTGTATTACCTTTTCGATGATGTCTCATAGTTATTGGTATCTCCTTTCCTCTTTTGCTAATTAAAACTGTATTGATTAAAGAAACGGAGGGAAGAGGAAAGAACCTGAATTATCTTTTTTTTATGAGTTTTACTTATTATCATACTGAGACAACATTTTAAATATGACTCAATTAAATATATCAATTAATCCAAGACGTTTTAATGATAAAAATCCCTTTACAGTAAGAAATTTGAATCAAACCTTACGCGTCTTTGAGCGCAGATCGCTTCGCCTTTTTTGACCTAAATTTGAAAGCATGTGCGAGAAGACGGGATAATAGTTAAAGCTTTTCTTTCGTTTATTCGCAGAATGAACTCTAAAAAAACGAAACAAATTGCATCTTAACAACATAAAAGAAAACGCCCTCCGACGCTGGAAAGGGCGTCTTGAGCTCGCAGTCTTCGGATTGACATATTATGATAATGAATGCGAAAAAAAAAATGATATAAAGACGACGAGAATAAGTAAGCCCTGCTTTTTTAGATAGAAAAATATAAAAATACTATTTTCATTTTCACAGCGTAAAATAAGACAAAAATTGTATTGCATGAGCTAAAATTCTCTTGTTTAATTGACCTAGCATCATGAAGAAATAAAAAAAAATGCCTAAAGGGATGTATTCGTATGGGAATGTCCACTACTCGTCCTTAAATCCATCAGGATACATAAAAAATAAGACTCGGTTCTGTAGAGACAAATAATATTAAAAAAAAAAATGAAAATTTAGTCATAAGGTTGTTAGTAATCCGCACTGATATTTTAGGACAAATTTCAGCCGCGCCGTCAGATAAGGAGTTAGCTAATAAATTAGTCGGTTTCCTTCCGATTCCTTACCCATATCAATTTATTGATGAGCCATTACACGAACTTCCAGCCCATTTAAGTCAAACTGATTAATTACTCGATATTAGAAGAGACTTAGATACGCTCCAATTTCGAAACCACCCATATAATTCATTCAAAAAAGTTAAACTTAATTATAACGAAAATTAACCGATTTCCAACCCTTTCGCATTTTGAATCTATTCGAGCAAAATAGGTCAATCAAAAAACTCATTTTATGCTATATATCTTGTAAAATATATAACCCAAAGACGTAAATAATTTCATCATAAATTGTGACAAAATTTAACGAGAATGTTCGCCGCGAATCAGATGACTGCATTTATCAACGAAAATCAAAACCGCAAGTACAAAGTTTATCGGACTTTGGTTCTAGAGTTATCGTGCCAGCAAAATACGCGCCGACGAAATATAAGATCAAATCCTAAATGAAGAAATTTTTAGGAAAAAGTTGCATCAAATTTGCTTATCCCCTGCTAATTTATTGATATCTTATAAACATATCAAATTTGAACCATCCTGTATAATTATGACATATACTTTGTGTGTTGATAGGAAAATTAATGTAATATAAAGACAAATTTGGAATTGAAGGGAACTTTAACATATTTTAGTAAAATATAACTGTAGGTCTAATTAGGTTCTTACATTGCAATAATTACAAGAGTGCTAGTTAACTGCAGCTAAATATCATAGTTGAAGTAGTGATACTTTATATGTGCTGAATAATCTCTATGTAGATTCGAGTTATCACTTCTTCAATGACGAATTATAAATTTTGTTATATCATTATGTCGGAACATAATTTTAAGGGCTCTAGAATAATATATATTTATTTATTATTCTGTAGGTGCATGAATCAATAATTGATATTATGCCTCTTTCCAGTGGAGTCTCCATAGCTTCTCCTAGTAGTCTCTCCACTTCCGAGGAATCTACTGAACCCTTGCCTGATCCCAAGCAAAACCTTACAGTTAAAAAAAGATTTTGTAACACAACAAAATTAAAAATATTGTTGTATGTACTACTAATGTTTAAACAAGACAGGCTTGAGTCGCTTGACACACAAATAAAACTTTAAAACATCTATTAGCAATATAGTTTTTCTTCCTGGAGTCGAAAACAGAATTAAAAAATTGCTGCATGGTGGATAGGTACTTAATCTAAAGTATCTTTTCCGCAATCATTATAAATGACAGGAGAAAGTAAGTAATTGATGCTAGTCACAAGCTTAAGTGTAGCTCAAATGAGCTGTCACTCATATTCAGTGTCGTTTAATAGACAGTAGTGCTGCCGTGTTAATTCAAATGACCGTAACTGTTTATTACTTGAACGTGAGAAAAATCGATTTTTCAAGAAAAATTACTTACGCCCAAATTTCTAAGCATTAAATCTCGGGTTTTATAGAAGATACATTCATGAAAGTTATAGATATGGACAAAAAATTCATTGTTGTCATGCGTAGTGGTCACATCTTTATTGCAAAGAAATTCTCTAATTACGGCCATTTGAGAGCGCCGATTGGAACAAAAAAAAAACAAAACTATTAGTAAGCAGTAATTCGATTTTCCAGAACGCCCAGTTTTCTTCACTTGAGTTTGCTTATTTAATACATGTATGCAGTTGTAATAGCATCAAATTATCATCATGAAAGTTTCACCAAATTTGAGACATGAAAGAAATAAATAGAGGGTATATCTAACATCTGATGGAAGATCCAGGAAGAAAAGAAAGTAAGATTAATAAATTGGAAAATAACTGCATTGACCAGGTAGAAAGAAGTGAAAAAAACGTTATTTATAAGAAAGTTGCCATTAGATATTCAAATTATTATATCGCCTTTACTATCATTAATTCCTGACCTAGAACACAAAATGTCAGCTCTAGATATTAAGATGATTTCAGCCTAGACGGCCCGGCCAGTTCCATCCAACCTTCGATGTCAGTAACCGATGAAGTATATGAATTTGTTAGCACACGGCCAATGTTACCATTTATCCGAGGAGCAATTTGCGTCGATTGAAAGGTCGTTCACACCGTCAGAACACCGTCCAAACAAATTTCTAAACATTCAATGACGATGACGTTACGAAATAGGTCAAGATCGTCGCGAAATTTATGTTAATAAAATTCGCATAAATATTTATTGTCCACGGTTCTTGCCGGTCTTCCTGTTCGCGAGATTATTAAATGATCATCGAAAATATCTACTGAATAATTTCAATGACTCAATCGTACGGCGAAAAAAGATGTATCGAAAATATCGACTAATTTTTTGTCGCCTATAAAAGAATACGGATTAGATAGTAATAGTCTGAGACCACCTGTTATTTTGAGTAACGAGTTGAATACAAGGCAAAATTTGTGGATTTATAATTTAATACCAGTTGAATAAGGAAATAATGTCCTGCTAGGGATGCCGCTGTTGCGACATCTATATTTAAGTTTTTAAAAATGTCAAAAACATTGATAATCGTGTTTTTATAAGGCTAAAACTTTCAGGAAATATCCTTTCAATTGTTTTATTAACAGCTACTACTGCCCGTCAGACGAATATACAGAGTACTTAAAAGTTCCACTCCCTCTTAACTTCGTTATTAAAATATCAGAATGATTTGTTTTGTTTAAAAATGTTAAGTAAGAACTTTATTGTAACTGATTCAATTATTCTGTGACGTGCCATGACGTCGTATAGAATAATTGAATCAGTTATACTAAAGTTTTTAAACGAAAAAAAAAAAAAAAAAAAAATAATTCCGATATCTCAATAACAAAGATAAGAGGGCGTGGAACTTTTAAGTGGCTCACCCTGTATACTCGTCTGGTGAGCACCAGCAACTGACATATTGACATTTACGTGACATTTACGTTTTTACAGTTTTTATTAAATATCGTTTGCCGGTCATAAAAAGTAGTTTAAAGGTATGTAATTCGTTGCTAAATGATTACATATTTGATGCATGTTGTCTACTTACTCTAGAAATATATTTAAAAAAGTTTAAAAACAATATAATTTAGATAAACAAAACAAAAAAAAATACTATCACTGTCAGTGGAGCCGTAATTACGTCATCACAAATTTAGCGAATTCAAAGAATATTTTTTGAAAGTTTTAGCGTTGCAAAAACACGTTAATTTTAACCATTTTATTATAAATGTACCAAATTTCAACCTTCAACGTTACTCAAAATGAACGCAAGCTCTATAACATGGATGTAAAGAAATTTGTGAAAACAAGCATTTTTAGATGACATCTCAAAGATCGCACGGGAATTTGAAAACCAATATGAAGTAAAACATATTCAACTTTAATTATATCTATTGTTTTGAAGTATTTATTATTATTTCTACAACGACCTATATAATTTACTAGTAGTTTATATGGAAATTAAAAAGGCAAAATTTATAGTAATTTTTATTTTATTCCAAATGAGTCACAAAATTATAAATGTATAGCACTTTTTTACAGAAAAACAGGGTGTGATTGATTAGTGAAAAATCGATATTTTTTATCACAAAATATTCTTTGGGAATTCATTTATATCTTTACTATTTGAATGTCTACTTCTGAATATTTGTATCACTTTTTCCATTGCGTATTTGACATTGCCCAAGGAATAAATCTACTTAAAAGAACTGTAATCATCCAAATAACATTATAGTTACAAGGGTCATGTATCAAACAAATTAAGCAAGCAATGTTATGTCCATGAAAAGGTTTTTATGTCTAATCTAATCAATCAATCTGTAAGCAAATAGCAATTTTGTAACATTAACTGCGAGGGCCGTCAAATTTTTTATTTCCTGATTAAGAAATAAGTCATTTTATACAAGATGTTTCATAGATCTCTTTTTAAATAGGCTATATAATTCCATGAACCCAACAATTTTTCAAGTAACTTTTTATAAACTTAAAAATCTGATGTGTCCAACACATGACTTTCCTATCTAGTTATTATAGGCTTTTTCCGGTTATTTTGTACAACCTATTGCAGCATCTCTATAAATTTTTAGAGGATAAACTAAATATATACATTGTCCACATACATCTACCTCGAAACATTTTTCTATATTCATTGAAAACGAAAATACTGAAAAATTTAAATTTAGCACTTATCCATTACGGTCCATTTTAGAAAAATCATGTATAAACAAAAATTATAGAGATCGATATCGCAAACAACTTTTAGTTCAACAATATTCATAAAAATCAGAATTTTGCACATTTTGTCAAATTTCTCGAATACGGACCATTTCAAGAAATTTTGACATATAGCAAAAATTATAGATAATAATATTAGAAGTAACTTTTATTTGAACAATGTTCTTCTCCAAACATAAATAACAGATATATTCCATAAAATATAAAAACGGCCTCCCATAAAGTACCCCCCCAGATGTTCCGACTTTGTCCAAAATCTAATCATTTCACGTCAGGCCGAAATAAACCTTAAGCTTAAAATTTAATGTTTTTTTCTTTATCCGTTTTTGAGTTTTCTTCAAAATTCGAAATTTACACATTTTCTCAAATATCTCGAATACGGTCCATTTTAGAGAAATTATGTATAGAATAAAAATTATAGAGAATTATATTACAAACAACTTTTATTTGAACAATTTTTATAAAAAAAATTTTTTTTTACATTTTGTGAAATTTCTCGAATACGGACCATTTTACAAAAATTTTGTATAGAACAAAAATTATAGATAATTATATAAGAAGTAACTTTTATTGGAAGAATTTTCTTCTCCAAACGTAAATAACAGATATATTCCATAAAATATAAAAATGACCCCCCCAGATGTTCCGACTCTGCCCAAAATCTAATTAGATCATTAGACGCTGGAATAAAGCTTAAGTTTAAAATTTGGTGTTTTTCTGTGTATCGGTTCATGAGTTATGCGACATACAGACACACACACAGACATAATCGCGAAAATAGTCAAAACGGATTCAGGGACCTCAAAACGTAAAAATCCGTCGAAAACTCGAGGTCGAAAAAAATCATGATTCTTATACTTTCCTTATATCTGTATACAGATAGGAAAGTAAAAATTAGAGAAATGTGCCCTTTTTAAATTTAAAGGACGGATCTGGTTCGTTTGGAAATTATCATGGAAATTATCAATATACTCGTATGTAGAAAATTAGTACGGCGGACAATTATTAGAATACAATCGATTGTCGATTATTTTCGATTGTTTTAGATTAATGAAGAGATCGAATATTTTCCATTAATCAGTTATTTTCAAATAATCAGATTATTACATTAACCGATATACAGGGTGTTTCATAATATATGCGCAGGACTTCAGGACGTGAGAGCTAGTCCGAAAATATGAAAAAACGTTTCTATTAACTCTAAAATGCACCATTTTCGAGAAACAGAGCGTATGACCAAGAGTACCTTTTTTGTTTAGAAAACATTGGCGGTTCAAATGGGCGTCTCAAAACCGTACTTTTTCCAGTGGCGTAGAATTTTTTTTTTTCAATTTCAACACCCTGTATCTCGAAAGTGGTGCATTTTAGAGGGTAAGTTAATAGAAACGTTTTTTCATACTTTTGGACGAGCTATCACGTCCTGAAGTCTTGCGCATATATTATGAAACACCCTGTATTGATTTTTAATTTATTTTTAATCTTATATTTGATTGTTATTAATGTATGAATTATTAGTAAATAGCTGATTCGATGACATAATAAAAAGTTCAAACGATCGTTTTATAATATCGAATTATCGACAGGACTGGGTGATTATGAACACAAATAATCGATTATTGATTTCTCTAAAAAATCGATTAGTTTGCTCACTCCTAGTTATAAGTATTAATTAGATGCCTATTGACGCTTTTAATTATTTAAAATTTGTTTCTCGAAATTCTACGACCCGTAGTTTCCGTAATACATGCGCCATATTTTCTTATTTACCGACTTCAAAACAGGAGAAGGTTCTCATTGCGTCGGAATATTTTTTTTTATGTTCAGCGATAATTATTTACCATGTTGTCCGATTTCTATGATTCTTTTTCGTTAGAAAGGGGGTACCTCAGGAGTGGCCCCATATAAATTTGGTCAAGATCTATTACTGGTGTCCATACAAAAATCCTCAAACTATTTACGTACGTGCAGCGATAATTCTTTAGTACGTTGTTCGATTTCTGAAATTCTTTTTTTGCTAGAAAGGGGTTACCTTAGGGATGGCCTCATATGCATTTAGTAAGACCTGATGGTAGGATTTATGATGATTTTGCACGATTTTGTTATCGGTTTTTTTTAAATTACTTTTATAACTTGTTTTGACACCTCCGGTACACGTTTCATCCGAGTCGAACGTTTTGTTGTGGTCAATAAATGTTGTAAGATGTGATATCCATCTAATTATTAGATATTATAAATTATAATACAGTTTATTCTGGAATTCAAACTGCATTCTATAATAATTTCCAGATCTATAATTATCCATTAGCAACACTTCTTATTATCCTTCCACAAGAAGAGGAAACAATTTGAAAGTTTTATATCTTGCAACAATGTCCGGAAAAGGGCAATTAAACTCGGCGTAATGTCAATGAAATCAAATTTGAGTGTAAAATTGATAGTCCACAACTATCGGGGATCTAATGAAAATGGCGACCAAGTAACGGCAATAAATATTTATGTTTGAACGATTTTATTGGTTTAGAGTAACCGAGTACAATACAAGACGAGACAGCATCGCATTTGACGAATATACAAGGTGTTTAGGACTGGTAGGGGACATCAAAATAAACATTTTGCTTAATAAGTATATTCAAAAACGTTTCGTTTAAGGTCCAAAATATATCGAATTAAGATATCAATAAACTGTAAAAATATCGTTTTTTTTTTTTTAACTTTTACACTCGGTACCTTGGAAACAAAGCGCTTTCTGACATATTATGTATATTAAGCAAAAAAATGAATTTTGATGTTTTCTACCACTCCTAAAAGTGTATCATTATGATTTATAATAGGCATGCTTTTTTTATCTAAAGATTTATCTTACCTATCCACGATCCTATTTCATCGTCTATTTGCATGGAATCGTTGGTGAATTTTAATTGTGGCAAAAGAATGGCCGAATATCCTACTGGCATGCCACAACTGGCCGAACTCAGCATCACAGCACTAGTAACAAAACTCTAAAAGAAAAAAATATAGCTATTTAAGGGCGCGCTACGCTCTCGCTCCATTCAAGGCGCGATGCAACATTGTTACACGCTATTTAAATGCGAATATTCATATTTGGCGTTTCGCTCACGATCTTTGACAGCGGTATTTCTACGTGCGGATATTTTGAACGAACCGTGAGTCAACCTTTGCGTCAGTATGTACAAGCAACAATTAAACGACGTTTGTTTTTTCTATTCTTATGTTAAGATCAAGTTGGATCAACAACTAATTGAGTTTGTTCGAAATACCAAAGAATTGTACATCTGGGTGATAAGTTATATTTCGACATGGCATTAAAAATATAGGATTGAGGGATTTGAGCGCCAGTTGAGTGTAACCTGGTACCTGGTACCCTATTCTCGAACTCATGAGAGCGTTCCTACACTCTCCTACTCTCCTGATGCATTACCAGTGTTGCCAGACGACCAAAATCAAACTGTAAAATACTGTAGAAATTATGTTTCTTTTTTCGTACGAAACTGGGCTTACTGGTGTGACGTTATAAGAGGCTGGTTAATTTAAGAGTTTATGGGGTTAGGGTTAGGGTAATTAAATAATAATTTTATTGAATAAACATAAAAAAAAAACATTAAAAAAATAACAACCTATTCTTGTTCAGCTAAAGTTTTAAAAATAATTTATTTTCCTTGTAATCATGTAATCCTTCTAATCCTTCTAATGTAATACCCTCTAAAATGATTTTGATCTTTTTGTCTAAACATTTTTAAAGAATTATCATATCATATGTATGTTTAAAACTTACACATTTCACGTATTTCCTTATGTAAAGTGGCAACCGGTCAAATTTTCTGAAACTTTGGTATGTTACTGTACTCAACGAAAAGTGTAAATAGGCTCAACTTAATCCTATGACTAGTTTTCGAAATTAAAATTGAAAATTGCCTAGTTTTTCGAAATTTTTATTTTCAAATTTACGAGTTAGATTGAATTTCTATTGTATAAACACACGTTTACTACATGTTTTAGTAATACATTAGTACATACGTATGTATGACGGTATGTATGACGGTAGTTTTTCCACAATCTTACTAATTTTACTATGACGTCAAGGAAAAATATTTTCAAAAAATACTACACAATATGGTATTTTGGCAACAAAATATTAAAAATTACATTTCCTATACAGGGTGTTCTAAAAGAAATTGTTAGATTACTCTATATATTTTAAAATCTTATGGTTACATACCTACCTACCTAATGTAATGATATTAACTTACTCAAAAGTCACTAAAGAAATAAATGCAAGCTCGTCTTTTTCATAATTTCAAAACATAATTATTTTTTGGTGGTTGGCTGGCTGGCTCATTCTGTATAAAAAGAAATTAATGAAATAATTTCTCTGTTGCGCAACTGTAGTTATTCAATGTTTGCAAAAATATATTATTATTGTGATTTATTTGTGAAGCACTCCATAACAATTATTTTAAACCATTAGCGGCTTGTATCCAAAATATTGGGGGCACACAATGACAATATAGATATGTATTAGTACAGATGTAGGTAAAAACTTTCAGTCTTCGGCATTATATTCCTTTTTATACCTATACCTTTCTAAAATACTAAAAGTTTTTTACCTATATCTGTACTGATATTTATATTGTCACTGTGAACCACCAGTATTTTGGTCACGAGCCGCAACTGTTTTAAACTGTCCCTTCTAATGGACATCTACCCAAAACTTATATTCTATATAAAGACAATCTAACTTTTCAGTTTAATGAAAAAAATAAACTGAATTCAACAATTTTCCATTTTAACTCTATGGATCTCGAAAACTGGTCATAGTATCAGATTTAAAATACATACTCTTAAAACGGTGTTAAAAATATTATATACCGAGAAAATGGTTACATTTGATCTGGGAAAGATTAAGGTGTTTGTGATTTTTGTACTTTTATTAAAATAGAATATCTTCCAACAAATAAGCCGCCTTGTATATTTTGAAGCTTAGAGGTACGCATATTTTAGTGATATTACTTTCTCCAAAAATCAATTTATAGTACAGGGTTTTGAAGTAATTTCTAAAAAAAAAAAAATATTTTTTGGTTCTCACTATAAAACACCCTGTATAGGAAAATGTGTATTGTGCAATATGTGGTCGACAAAATACCACATCGAATAGTACTTTTTGAAAAATTGCTTCCCTTACGTCACACTAGAATTAGTGAGATTTTGCAAAGAAACTACCGTCACATTTGTGAATCACCCCGTAATTAAAAATATTTTTAATTGTACGCATGTCATATTATATTACAAAAATATTGAACGCATTAAACACGTGTATGCAACAGAAATTCAATCTAGCTCGTAAGTTGGAGAATAAAAATTCCGAAAAATTGGACAATTTTTTAGTATATGATACAAATACAATAATTAAGGTACGTCTTGCAACAGTGCTCTCGCTGTTGACATGATTTTTTATAATTTTAGTTGAGTGACATGCGTAGCAAGGCCAAATCGTGCACTCAATTACGAAATGTCTTATTTTATAAGTGAATATTTGCGGGACGAGCAGAGCGGGTCTCGCAACATGAACGAGTTACATATAACTGCATATCATAACGTGTTACATACAAGATTTTTCTAATTTTGACTAAATTATAAAATTGTTTGGTAAAAAATGACCAACCATTAATTTTTTGTACTTCCAATCAAAGATTTTATAAAAATATTTGGAAAATTGTAGATAAAAAATGTGCCATTTTAAAGCATTTGATTTAAAAAATAAATGATTGATTCGAACTTCGAGATCTTCATGTCATAGGGAAGCTCGCAAACTCGGATTTGGGACTTATAAAGTTTATAATATTAAAAACAATAAAAAAATGGATTGAAAACACTAAAACAATCGAATGTTTTTGCTTAAATTTGATATTGCTATAGGTTAAAGAAAAATCACTATTAACTTTTTCCGAATAAAAATCAAAGATTTGAGTGAAAGAGGACAATATTTGGTTCAAAATGTAAAAAGATGAAGTCAATATTCTCAAATTTTCAGGCGATAAACTTCAAATTAAATAAAATAATTTTTAATAACGGTCGACTTTTTTAAAGAAAAATTGTGTAACCCGAATATGAACATCATCAAACTAAAAGGCTGGATGTATTTTTTTTTAAAATCGCATGTCATGAAAGTTGAAAACTACAACCGCAAATTTATCCCGACTAAATGGAACATGACTGAAGTTGTCACAAAACTCTAGAAAGGAGGAAAAGATCAGGATTAATAGCATTTCTAGGCGATGTCTACAGGCAGGGTTCGCTAAGTCTTTTCGCCCGTGATTTATAATGTTTGATTGGTATTTTATTGGGTGGAAAATGAGATAAATCGGTGTTTTTGACTTGTCACACCGAAACGGGCTTCGGTTTTTGAAGAGACTATAAAAAATGGGAAAATTATTTATTTTTAAACGGCTATATTTATTGTTTATCGTTCATGAATACATGTGCACACGTAACGGAAACATATTTTAAATAATAAAAAAGACATTATTTTGTTTTTTATTGTCTGGGGATCAGAGGCTATTGATACAATAATTATATTACAAAGGGCTTGCGTTAGGTTCTTACTAAATACATAAATTTACTAGACACATGGTAAAAATAACTTTTTAGTTGTTTTGACATAAAAAAATTACGATAAGAAAAAAATTATTCACAAAACTATAAACATAGGAATAGTAATTTGACAAATTACCTGCGCTAAAATTCGCCTCGTAGTTTCGCTTTTCTTTTGTTTTCTATTCAGTTGCTCTTCCAGTTTTTTGTATTCTTCATTTTCGACGCCATTCTTCTGAAGTAAATCACTGTCTTCACTGAAAAATTAAAATAATACAAACATTATTTATAGGAAGAAAAATCGAAAGACATAAGTACAAGTTTTCTTTGAAAATACAAAAATCCACGGTTTATTTTTTAACGATCGCATACATTATACAGTTCACCAGAAATATTTTCATTTGAGGTTTTTGTTGCAACCCCATTTTGCTTTTAAAAGGGACTTCTTGTGATTATTAATTCATAGACGTAGAATTATACCTCACAACAGTGTAACAACCCCTTATAGAATACTAAACGCCACGGGGGTCAAAATGCACATCATTTGAAAGGTATTTCAATTTTATTTTGTTTTTCGTTAAAATTAATGTAAAAAACCTGTTGGAAATCGAAGAAAAGTTATCATTAATGAAGTTTTTATATTGAGACCCATTTCGAAAGTAAAATTGATCTTATTTGGAATTTTCCGGAAAAACCTTTTCAAATAAAAATATTTTAGGTGGACTGTTTTAGTGCGCCATCGTGCATACACAGAAAAAAATTATCATCTACATTCAAGAAAATCTTTACACTTGGAATATTACATTTGTTTGAAATAAAGCAGAGTTTGCTTTAAATATTTCTCGATACAATAAGGAATTAAATGTTGAGTGAAATGTAGGCATAATCTTGTATTTTAAAAATTATAATAATTAATCTGAGAATAAATTATTTAATTCGAGTCTAGAATTGTTAATTAATCCAAGAAAGCTCTTACGTTTATTGTAAGTATGATATGCTCTTAAACCGACTATCGCGTTCTTGATTCAATGTTAGGATTCAATTCAAAGCATTTAAATTTCAGAACAAGAATTAAACAATTCGAATCAAAAACCTATGTACTTCACACAAGATTAGCGAGTACAAATTCACTGCACAATGTTGCCAGCTGTAACTTATTTTAAAATGCCACTGATAGGTAGATATAGGACTGGTACATATTGAGATGTGATAGTTATTATTCGGAAGTCAGAGACACAACGCATTTATAGAGAATCTGGCAAATTGGCATTAGCACGTGTTCATCCTATTGCCCATTTTCTAACAAGTTTGCATTCTATCGTTAGGGTTGCGTTCTACTTTTTGTTAGAAATTCTTTGTGATTCAATTAATAAGTGTTTGAATAAATTAAATTGAAATGGAAGATTTATTAGTTGGATGGAGCCTCAGCAACTTGATGCCAATATTTAAATGTAAGTATATTTGGTTCACTTCTTGTTAGGTATTATATTGTATATAAGTACATAAGAACACGAAACAAACTAGAATAGAAGTAAAAAATGTATGATGCTGGATGACGACTTTTTGGAAAGACGACTTCTGCCTCACTATTTTAGTGCACAGTAAATGTTCAATTATGTGCTACTATTTCAAACTTTCGGTATCCTTTGATAAAAGAAGTTGAATATTATTGTTGACCTTTTTAAATTGTTTATTTTACCTCATATATATTTTTTTCTACTCTTCATACAGTATTCTCTGAAGAGTATAGCTTTACTTTGTCCGTCTGTCCGATGTTTTTTGTCTGCACGATAAGTCAAAAACGAGAAATGATATTGACTTGAAAATTTTAAGTAAAAATCAAATTCTATAAGGGGACAACGCCTATTGATTTTTAACAAATCTGATTAAAAATTTAAGATGGGTTGAAATTAAAAAAAAAATCCTAAATTAAAAACGAAAAGCAATATCAACATGAAATTTTTAGTAAAAATTAAGCTTTATAAGAAGATAAAGCCTATTGATATTGAAAAAAAAAATGAATATATTGGGGAGTTAAGGAAGGTTAAAATATTAAAAAAACTAAAAACAAAAAATGATATCAATTTGAAATTTTTAGCAAACATCAAGCTCTAAAAGGAGAAAAAGCCCTTTAATTGTAAAAAAATCTGATTAAATATGGGGGATTTAAGGGGGGTTGAAATTAAAAAAAAATCAAAAATGAAAAGCGATATCAACATGAATTTTTTAGTAAAAATCAAGCTCTTTAAGGAGATGAGGCCTATTGATTGTGAAAACAATCTGGTTAAAAATGGGGGTTAAGGGGTCTGTTAAACTACAAAGAGTTTCATTTAGAATGCCAGGCATTATATATCTTTATTTTAGTTTGTATCTGTGTAATACTAGGTATTGTGATCGGACTGATCTTATAAAATAAACATTTAAAACATTTTTGTTCTTATTTTATTTGCCAATAAAAGGTATTTAAAAAATATATATTTTATTTGACATCTGTGACAAATTGTGAAAATAATTAAACTTACAATAAAAAATGAAAAATGGTAGGTAAAGTTTCATATAATATTTTTTAAACACAAAAATCAATGTCAAGCTTTCTGCATGACCTGATATATATTTAAAAATAATACCCAAAGTTTTGTACCGAACTTACAAATTATAAAATTATTGGAAAAAGTGAACACCCATTTTAAATTACTACGGGTCGCCACTGCTTGAAAATTCACTAATTTTACATTTCTTTTTATTTATAAAAATTGATTCAAAATTTTGTAATTTTTCGTCTTCTTTCTTCAGGTAAGGAAAAAATCATTTCAACAGTATTAAATTGAAAACCTAAAAAAAGTTAAAGATGTGGTTGGTTGTAACACACTTTCTGTAAGGTTGATAAAATCTAATGAATTTAGTAAGTTCCGAGTACAATTAACATTACCTTGACATTCTTTATTGGTTAAACCTAACAATAAAATATCATCTAGATATATAATAGATAAGCCATAACCGGTTTTAACAATTTTGTGAAAACAAACGGAGCTATGTTTAGACCGAATGGGAGTACTACAAACTCGTAAAGTTTACTTAAAAATTCAAATATTAAAAATTTTCTAGACTTTTCATGGATAGGGAGAGAAAAATAAGCATCTTTCATGTGTAATTTGGCTAGAAAACATTCATGTTCTCATTTTAATGTGCATCAGCGTATACATCCACTAATACTGGCATATTTGTAGCTGATTGTATATTCGACCACCTAAAAAAGTGATCATAAACAGTTCGGCTTGCCACAAACAAAAAAAAAACCAGGAATAAGAAATTAAAGAGGTATTACTCGAATGCCAATGTAAATAAAAGTAAATTCATCGTCACAATAAAATTGAAATCTGGAAAATACTTGTACGCATTTAAAATTATCTACTTATGTAAGAAACAAATGAATAATTTCCCTTAAAACAATAAAACAACCAATTTTTAAATCTTAAATGGAAATACTATTAACACATTTAATTTGCCAAATAACTACTTCAATACAACTGACTGTATCGAACAACTTAAAAAGACATCATACACCACCGTTGAAATATCGATCGATAACAACGAATGATTTTCTAGAATTAGAAACCATGGACGTGCGGAATTTCTTTTACACTTACTTGAAGAATTTTCGATTTCGTTATCGGACGAAAAATTCTCAATTTGCTTTTACATTATTTTCATCTTTTTAACCAATTTATCATACTTGTTTTTTTTTTTCAATACCTATTTGACTATGTCCCTTCTTCTGAACATGAGGAAATGGAACGGTATTTTTTATTAGGCATTATAAATCCCAAATTTTTAATAATTTATTTCACAATAAAACGCTTGAAGTATACTCATAGACACACGACAATACAATAATATTCTCGGGGCCCGGCTATGATACAAAAACTTGAATTTTTATCTTCAAACGTGTGAATCATGACATGACATCAGACGATACAACTACAGTATGAAATATTTTGGAATACGAGGGAAGAACAATTATATGTATATACGCGCCAATGGGAATACTTTGCGATATTATGTGTCTCAATAAGGCAGAGACATTTAAAAAAAAAGTTGGAAACCCTCCAATTTAAAAACTACTAGGTATTTTATAAAACAGAAAGCAGAAAATTTTCATAGATTTAATATAGAATGATGTGTAATGTTTTTATGTTAAATTCCTTTTAAAAATTAACAAAATAAATACTTTACGAAGGTTTATAAAAACATCAATATTTCTTCAACATAAGTTTTGTTATTATTGGTACTTTTCTGAAAATAAAAAAAAAAATGGACGAAAAATAAAGGCTTAGAAGGAATTAGAAAGTAGTGTTGAGTTTGCTTTTAGCATTTTTAGTAAAACTTTACTCACTATCGGTATCAGTTTCACTTAAAAAACTTCTACGTGTTTTTCGTACACTTTGGTTCTCTTCAAATGATAATTTTCATCACTAACCCGTTTATTCGACATTTCTAAATTTACTCGACAAAACACAATAATGCAATAAAATTAACACGTGGTGGCCTAGGCAGGTAAAGTAGCTGCTGATAAAAAACTGTTTTTGGCTATTTTTCATTAATTTATTATTGTTGACAATATTATTATTTGAAAAATTCTGTTATAAATATTTTTTTCTACGATCACTATCGAAAGTAGGCTTTTGCGCCTTGAAAATTAACTGCAAAATTGATATTTTCTGCAAGCTGTCATAATTTGACATTACTGGCGCTCTTAAGCAGAAAGTAACGTTGGCTCATGCCTAATTTTATTTATAGATAAAATAGAGCTAGTAGTTATTTTAACACAAACTATCGCCTAAATAAATGTTTCGACTTCTTAATATTTTAAATCATCCAACAGTATTTTCCGTAAATAATTAAATCATAAATAATTACCACTTCTAATAAAATAAAATTATTTATTTTATTTTGGTGTGATCGTAGAAAAACTATTGTGTGTAATTCGAACAGAAAGCTATTTGGCAGTAACGATTGCCAAAGTGCTTCTTACTGCTCTTATACACAAATAGCTATTCTAGCTCTATTAAAACGATTTAAAAAATGTTTATGCAACTTTTTTTTTGTTTATAAAATTCTTTCCAAATTCTAAAATATTCGCAAATCGCGATATCGAAAAGTGCAGAAAGCTTTTAGCGTTACACTATATTAAAAAGAAAGAAGTCGCAATCACCTGCTATCATCCAACTTTTCCGTGCCGGAGATTTTCATGGTTCCCGCCACTTTCAGCACTACCACCGTTTTAGGTTGACAAACACCACCTACTGAAGATCGTAAACTACTTTAAATGACATTGTCTGAAACTTTTATATTGTTTTTGTTTTATTTCCATTCGGTGGTCATATTAAGATGACTCCCCCACGCTTATCGAATCGGCTTGCCGATGATTCGGTTTGGAGATGATCACGATGCGTCTTAGATTTCCGACAGGGACGGAATCGCTGTCGAATGCATTGTTTTTATTACTATTTATTTGTTTGTTTATTTTTGAAACAAACAGGCATGAGCCTAAATATAACAAAAATACATAATATCCAATTAATACACTTATTCCTTGATTTAGATCTACCATTTTCACGAAGTCTTCTTTCAATAGTTGCAAATGTTTGCTGATTTGGGACTTGGCGATTAGGAAATTTGTCTCTATAAACTCGAACACTTTCGCGACCATTTCCGTTACAAAATTCGTATAGCAAAAGCATATCAATTTGTTCATTGTATATGTTAAGTTTAATTCATGGTAAAAAGAATGGTAATAAATTTAAATCGATATCTAATACTTATACTGTCAATGCAAATATACAGGTATTTATCACAATACACTTTTTATTAAAATATACGCTTTTTATTATAAAAATATGTATATGAGGACATATCAAAAAGTTTCGGTGCCTTCAACATCTAAAGATTCCTACAGGCAGCGTTTTGTATGCAACATATTAAAAGTATTATTTCATTAATATCATCTTTTACAGTAAGGATTAACTCCATAGATTTTAATGTCAAAAGTAACAGGTAAAAAAAAATAGGGAAAATGTACGTTACCTGATGAGACAATTATAATAAAAATAAAAAAATTCTTCTGGCAGCTTTTAATTAGCCATTTTTGTTTTAAATTAAGTTAGTTTACTGGTAATGATTTGTCAACGCCGCAAATCGGTAGTTATCCAGTAACCTAATTGTATTATAAGGAATTACTCGTTTTATAGGAATTGAATATTAACTGGCTAATTAGGGTCTTACTTTCCTACTTTTCAGCTGAATCTAAACACTAAACCATCACGAACATGAACTAACATTTTCCAATGTAGCTATACAGGGTGTCCCGAATTTAGACGGTCATATTTTAACAGCGTAAAATTGCCCTAAGTTTTTTTTGTTGACAGTTTTTAACATTTTTGACAATAAAATTTGGAACACCAATATTTTCTTTATAATAAAGCTACTTTTGTTGCATCTCGCTAGGGCGCACCATTTTCAAGAGAAAATCATTTGAAAATTTCATGATAAGTTGAAGTTATCTTATTCGAAAGTATAAACAATAATTAGTAAACCTGTGGAATCAGAAATATAATTTTTTTTTTACTTTTGAAAACCGTTGACTAAAGAAATTTTAGAAAATATTTACAAAAATATGCCATCAGGACTTCACTTTTAACATCCTGTATCTCGGAAACAAAACGTTTTCGGACCTATGTATATATAAACTTTTAGTCCTATTTTAGGATGTAGATTACGCTGTTAAAACATGACCGTCTAATATCGTGACACCCTGTATATCTAGGTAAATAATGAGCTATCGAGAAAAATTATTATTGGAAAAGATTAATCCTTAAAGAATTAATGCATTAAATTAAGCTTATAAATTGTACTAGTTATAGCAAATGCAGTAACATAATAATTATTCTTTTCTTTACCTCAATCAATGTGTATGGTATACTCTTCAACTTTGAGCCATTTTAATCATTTCTATTCCAACTGATATCCCACCATGTTTTTCTTTGTATTGGCTGTGTTCTTCGCCAAGTTTTAGTTGGAAATTTGGTATTTTTATCTTTATTCGTTTTTGAGATATCATAGACAGAAATTATCGTTAGAACTAAAAGATCCTTGGAAATTCTTGGAAAGTCGAAAAAATCTTGATTCCTACAGAATTTCCTTACTGGCTACTGGAAAGTAAAAAAAAAATATAATTTAATGTTGATTTAGTACTATTAAATTTATTCAATTCTGCTTCTCATTTAAGTTTATTAATCAAAATTGGGACAAATAATATGTAAATGGGATACAATGTTCTTTTAATTTTTAGATATACTAGTCCGGGATCCCAGGTCCATTTTCACCCATGATTACTAACAAGCAGATTTTTTGTGAGTACCTAGCTTCATTTTGACGAGACGCCCAACTTTTTTCCTTACAATAATTTTGGTAAACGGTAGCTAACAGGGGTAGCGGGGGTGAAATATGTTGATTTGACGATTCTCAAAAAGTTATTACTAATTGGATTTTTCTTTGTTAATTCTAAAGATAATTATTTACATAAACCGAAAAAATATTTGTCCTACAAAATTTAAGGTTTTATTAAAGAGTCCCCCCTCTCCAACATGTATAATTAATTAGGTAATGAAAAATAATTAGTAACCAGCTGATTTTTTTTCTATTGGTTAGTTAATATTAATATAATTTAACACCCACATTGTCCTACAAATTACGTGGTACATTATCCCGGTCCTCCAGTTCTATATTTGAAATTCATGAAATTAAAATATAGTATATTACATTACGAGTGTGGAAAATCACTTTTCACACAAGTGATGTACAATGCTTTTCCTACGACCACAAAATAATGTCATCAAAAAAATGTAAAACCAAGGTTATTATTACTATAATAATTAAAATGTATTTAAAAAAAAATCAACAATAACCGTATTTATTCAATTTTCATATTTTCTAAAAAAAAAAAAAAACTAAAAAAAAAAAATAAAAAAAAAAACAAAAAAAACAAAAAAAATCCTGCCCCGCCAGGATTTGAACGCGGTCGAAAAATGGCAAAGTTGATAAGTTCGACGTCCTAACCACCTGAGCTAATAGCCCTTGTGTCAATTGAATGATCTAATCGGTTATGTATTTAACCAGAATAAAGAGCAAACATTATTTTAAAATTATTTTAATAAAATTGTTAAAGATAAATATCTAGGATCTAATTTACAACAATTTCAATAATTTAACAATCCTATCGATTTTAGTATTAATATGGACATTACATAGATCAAAATAGAAATTAGGTGTTTGACATTTTGTGACAACTACTACGGAAAGTAACATATTCTCACTCGGGTGGAAAGTAAATTCTTATTCATACGCGTGTGATATAGGGCACTTTCCATAGGACTATACAGTGTGATATGTGTCACTTTCCTAAGTGGTCGTAGGAAATAGTATATTACATTACGAGTGTGGAAAGTGACATTTTTCACACGAGTGTGGAAGATAACTTTTCACACAAGTGATGTACAATATTTTTCTTACGATCAAAACATAATTTCATCAAAAAATGTAAAACCAGATTATTATTATTATTATTATAATAATTAAAATGTATTTAAAAAAATAATCAACAATAATAGTATTTATTCAATTTTCATATTTTCTAAACAAAAAAAAAACTAAATTATGAATCTGATGAAGTTTAATGTTTTTTTGTTTATATAAAAAAACCAGATATTTTTTTATGTACATTGAAAAATAAAGTTATTTTAATTTCAAGAAATATGTTGTCACTTTATGTTGTGTTACAAATAGGAAACGGAAATGACAATTCTTGTAGGACTAGCAGTACCTATCTGTTTTTTTGTAGGACATTGTTTTATTTGGACGAAAAACATACTAATCTATCACATAATACTTTGGTCCTACAGTTACTAATAAAAAAAATTGTCTTGTGGCATTGGCAGCTTTTGATCGTAGGACCAGAATGTCGTACTACGTAATTTGTAGGACAATGTGGATGTTCAATTATATTAATAATAACTAACCAATAAGAAAAAAAAAGTCAGCTGGTTAGTAATTATTTTTCATGACCATGTTAATTATACATGTTGGAGAAGGGGACTCGTTGATAAAACCTTAAATTTTGTAGGACAAATATTTCCTCGGTTTATTTAGATAATTATCTTGGGAATTAACAAAGAAAAATTCAGTTAGTAATAAATTTTTGAAATTCGTCAAATCAACATATTTCACCCCCGCTACCCCTGTTAGCTACCGTTTACCAAAATTGTTGTAAGGAAAAAAGTTGGGCGTCTCGTCAAAATGAAGCTACTCACAAAAAATCTGCTCGTTAGTAATCATGGGTGAAACTGGGCCTGGGATCCCAGACTATACAGGATATAAAGGTGATTAAATAAGACCATTAATGAGAAAGGCTAAATGAAACCGTACAAGGTATATAAAATCCAAATCGAGACAACAATTTTGCGACACATCAATGGACGTGAACATTTTAAACTTTAGAGGACAACATAATTAAAAGTACAATAGATATTTCAATTAAATATAACCTGGTAACTATATGTAATGATCAAGGCCGTAGCCAGGGGGGATCAAGGGCGATTGATCCCCCCCCCTCCGAAATAAAAAAAGATATTTATTTTAGACTTTTAATAAGTATTAATGAGACTGCAGTTATATATAGTGCACCCGTCTCTCTCACTTTGTTGTTATACACAACATAATAGTTAATCACTACAAACAAAATTCTCTACCTACAGTTATTTTTATTATGTATGACTTAAGCTTGCTTGGTATTCGCACGACGATACTTAAATAGCGGCGCAGCAACATCTATTAGGGAGCGGCGAAACTACGTGCTTCGCCAACTACACAAGCAACGCAACTTCGGGGACGTACTCGAACTGCATTTCGGGAATATTCAATAAGCATAGAATGAGAAGGGTTATTCTCGATGTTTCGTTGCGCCGCGTCTGCGGAATATATAAGCGAGCCGTCGAGCACGGAGAGGCAGTTCTGTCTTCTGTCTTGGAAAGTGATCCAATGCGACGCGACTAAGGCGATATACTTGGCTTGCTGTTTTAATTGTTACAGGACGGTTCAACATTTGAAATGGCAAAAAGGACGCAAGAAATTACATTATTTAAATATTTATTTAAAAAATATAAACCTAGTACTGGTAGTGAAGGTTCTACTGAAAA